ATCAAAATGGTTCACATTTGTTGGAAATTGAATAAACTTAAAAAACATGTCTTTTAATCTGTATTCAATTGATACAAACGTGTTCAGACTGTGCGAACGAAGTGTTGCGTTTTTAATGGCGTTCAGTATAATATACTTCCCTTCATGCTTACCATGGCACTGTTGTCTATTATCAATTACAGCATTGTAGTTCTTATTGCACATTCAATGTAGAGGGTTGGGCATACAATCTTCCAGGGGGCAATTCTGATTAATTAAAGACAAAAAGCCCCCCCCCCCCCCCAATTCATTCCTTTACTTGTTTATTCATTCATTCTTTCATTCATTCTTGCATGCTTACATTTTTGCATCCATTCACTCATTGTTGTATTTCCTAGGTTATTCATTCATTCATTCATTCATTCATTCATTCATTCATTCATTCATTCATTCATTCATTCATAATTTATTATAGGTCCAGCGGAATGGGTTGCAGGGCGTTGGCTTGATTGAGGAGGCAAATAAATCTTGAGAAAAGTACATCTTTTCTTCAGGCTTCCATACCTTCTATCTGTTGATGGCTACAAACTCACAAAACTGACCAAATTATTGTTGACGTCCTATCAAAGAAATTCAGATCGTTTGGAAGGCTGGCTTCCTGTCAGGACCAACCAAGCTGAGTGGAAATACAACAACAACAACCCCCCCCCCCCCCGAAAGACTCATTATTACTCCCAAGAGTGAAAACATCTCGTGCCTTTTACATGTACAACCTTAGCTGAATAAAAAAAAATAATCGGCACAATGTTTTTTCCCGAAACACTCGCTAAAGAAACGTGAGTTTTTTTCTCATTATATTTTGAATGCGCTGTGAGTAACTCCTTTCTCATGTTGATTATTGTCTAATCAGGGTAAATTCTTTCAGAATTTTGACTAGACTGTTATTTGGTGATGAGGATGGCAGAAGGAAGGGCATCATAGTCCCTGTTTTGCTTTACTCTCTCCGTCTATATCTAAATGCCCAATCTATAACATGAAGCATGTCTTTCTAAAATTCATTCAAGCCCCTCCCTTCTGTCTTTCAGCTAATACACTTTTTCTCTACTCAGTTTTTGCCTTTCATTTGCAGATTTTATGGCATTTTTGGTCACTGGTTGCTAGTTTGTGTTGAGAAAATCCCACATGGTCATCTCAATAGCACAATAATACAATAATTACGAAAATAATATATTAGGGAAGAGTCGCTGTTTTGATATAATCAGACTGTTGTCAATTAACTAGAGGACCCCCCCCCCCCAATATTTCTTGTTAAAACTTACAGACGGCCCACCGTGAAATGTCAGTCCGTCACAGTCTGTTCGTCACAGTCTGTTCGTCACATTCTGTTCGTCACATCTATTTCTCGACATATGGGGCCCGATGGAGCAAAACCGTCAATGGTTTCAAGGAGGGCGTATCTTGAATACAGAGAAAGTGAAAGGAAAACAAAAACGAACCTTTCTATATTTTGTGACAAAACTTTTTTGAAAATTTGTGTGACGGGTTGACATGTGGCATGTCTATCAGAGAGTTCTGAAATGTTGATAAAATCAAACAAAATACTTCCCAACCTCATTAAGATTCAAATTCATGTAAGAGGAATAGCATACTAAGGCTTGAGCTAATATGTTACCTAAAACAACTGAAGTTTAATTTATGTGAGAAATAAGAGGGTGAAATGCTCAAATGTGTGTTTTTATAATGATGGCTAAAAGTTGCAATACTGCAGAAAGCAAGTTGAAAATTTAAAAAAAATCCCTGTCGAATCAGTTAATTTTTGTTGATGGTGTAGAAATGGTAGATCTATACCTACACTCCTATTGTCTTTTTGTTGGTCTTAGGAGTATTTCAATTTTGACCCTCTGGTTGACATTTTCAGGGAATTGCTCATAACTTATCTACTTTTGTAAAAACTCTTTGAAAGACATAATCCTATCAGAGGTAGACCAAAGGTAATTTTAAACCATTACATTCAAATCAGGAACATGAATATATGCATATTTCGTAGTATTATTACGTACGTTGTTACATGCTTTTTTCTGTTTTAGATAAAGGAAACAGGCTTGAAAAGTCTGTACGAACAAAGAAGGTAATTACAATATTGTTCTCTTCTTAACTTTTCATCTATGTGGGGAGCACTCTGCCGGTACGAAATCTAAAATTGACACATGTGTCACTAAACTGGCCCTTAATAAATTGTTAAAAAGTGATAGGTAGTAGGTGGTCCGCGCCTGACAGGCTGCGTTTTTCCTGCTCTGTAGTGTCTGTGTCTTTTTCATATCTTGTGGATGGATTGTGGTTTTTCAAGTTGGCTTACAGGATAAATAAGAAATACTTGTGCTTTTTGTGTTATTTTTTTTTTATTAGTGCTTGATCTCAAATTACCAACCATTTGCCAGAAATATATTTCGTTATGGAAGTTCTATCCTTGGCTTTGGCCATTTTCAACATTTACAGGATTGTGTGGAAAGCTGTGTTCACCACCCAACCCCACCCCGTTTATAATGTTAACAGCTATGCCAACACTTTTCTGAATAATGGAAGTGAACACTGTCAAGTTGTGAGTCCGGTGTGTGTTGTGAGTCCCCGTGCGGGATCTACAAAGGTGTGCTACACTAGAGACCAGTTATTGTCTGTAAACAAAAAGACACATGACATTTCATATAAAACGACCGTTTGCCTATCTCAGTTTGACCTTGAAAGATCTCAAGACTCAGCCAGAAAAGTTTAGAAAAACAAGAGATGGAAACGAGGAGGTAGAAGAAAACAAAGACCAATCATTGTTGTCACAGAGAAAAGGTGTGTTAGTTAAAATGAACCTCGAAGCGTCATTACTCCCATGAACTTAATTGCCGTTGACACAAAAAACACCGTAACGGAATTGACAAGTAACCTTAAAATTAGAACACACAGTCAACCTAAAAAAAGACCGTCTTACTCAATGATTTAATACTTGAGTCCAACTCCGATACCGCATTTTTTACGGAGTCATGGTTGCGGAACGTCGGAGATGAAATCATTATTGCTGGCTAACTCCACCGGGAAACACGTCCATCTCCGTCCCAAGAAATGGTCGAGGGGGAGGGATATGCTAAACATCACTCCAAAGAAAAAGCCCTCCTTTAAAACGTTCGAATGTTGTGAGATCAGTCTACAAATCGAAGGGTGTCCCGTCATTTTGTCTGTGTCTATCGACCACCTCCCAGCTGGAGAAACAAACTGAAAACTAAAGATTTCATTACTGAATTCCAGGATTTACTAGACCTGCTTACCACCAAGAAGACACAGCCTATAATTTTAGGGGACTTTAATTTACATTTTGAAGATACCTTAGACACTAATGTTAAATCTATCAAATCTATTCTAGAGACTCGTGGTCTCTATCAACACATTGATCACATGTACGCAGACGATACACAGTTATATAAATCTGTTCCACCACCAGATGTTAAAACCTTGCTTACTACCATGGGTCTGTGCATTGATGACGTCAAAAAGTGGATGGTTGATAAAAAGCTCCAGCTTAATGAAAATAAAACGGAAATTCTTTTATGTAACCCAAAGAAAAGTCATATCCCCGTAGACAGTGATCATATTTGTACTGAAAATGAAAAGCTGTATTTTACTAATAAAGCAAAAAATCTGGGAGTGTATTTCGATTAAAAATTGTCAATGGAACATCATATCAATTATTTATGTACCATTTTATTTTGTGAGTTGCGTAGAATTGGTCATATGTCTATGTTTTTGAATGAACACTAGTTGAAAACGCTCGTGTCGTCTTTCTTGTTTTCACGCATGGATTATTGCAATGCTTTACCAGCTAACTTACCAAATACCACTCTTCACAGGTTACAACGTTTTCAAAATCATGCTGCTAGGCTTGTACTAAAGAAAAAGAAGACGGACCACATTACTCCCATGTTAAGAAAGTTGCATTGGCTTCCCGTGTTAGCTAGAATATCATATAAAATTGCAATATTATGTCATAAATGTGTCAATAACAAAGCTCCCTCATATCTTAATGATCTCATCCAGATTTATGTTCCATCTAGATCCCTAAGATCAGGCGATCAGTACATTTTAAGAGTTCCTAGAAAAGGGGGTAAAAAATTTGCCGAAAGATCGTTTGCCCACCTTGCTCCATCAGTTTGGAACTCTCTTCCCCAACCCTTGAGACATACAACATCTGAATCTAAATGTAAAAAATCTTTAAAGACACATTTAATTACATTATTTTTATGTCAGTAGATTCATATTCAGTACAATGTTATGTAAATGACTATGTATCCATATAAGTATTCAGTGAATTGCATTGTGTATATTATTGTATTATATATGTGCTCATTTCGTGACGATGTGTAAGCGTGCACGCGTGATAAGCAAGTAGATGTTTGTGTGTGTGTGTGTGTGTGTGTGTGTGTGTGTGTGTGTGTGTGTGCGCGTGCGTGCGTGTGTGCGTGTGTGCGTGTGTGTGTGTGTGTGTGTGTGTGTGTGTGTGTGTATGTGTGTTTGGTGTACATGTGTGTGCACATAAGTGCGTGTTATGTGTGTGTGAGTGCGTGTGTGTGTGTGTGTGTGTTTGTGTGTGTATATGTGTGTGTTTGTGTGTGTATGAGTGTGTATGTGTGTGTGTGTGTGTCGCGTGCGTGAATATTGTTCGTACATGCATTTATGTAAAGCGCCTAGAGCTGTGTTCACACGGGAGTGGGCGCTATAGAAATGATCTTCATTATTATTATTATTACCTATTTCGATAGTTCTTCACCAAACGAATGATCTCCCGGTAAAAGAGACCTGTTTTCAGCAATTGCCGAAAAGTAATTTGATGTCGAAGTCGTCGTAAAGGAATGTGCCCCAGCCGCTGTCAGTAGCTCACCGGCACAGGGGTTTCGACCGCCCAAACTGCGCGTCTTCTTGCGTTGTCGACCTGCCAGAATGCGTGTTCTCCTCAGTAAGATGAATTAACATTTCTCTTTCCAGATTGCTCGATGAGCTGATGAGAAACAACTCATAAAAAAGATGACGAAATTCGACGATGTTCTAGAACAGGTTGGAGCTTTTGGAAGGTACCAAGCATGCCTGCTTGTGATGTTCATAGGCGTGGTGCTGCCAACGTCGTACAACACTTTTCTCCCACTCTTCGTGCTCACCGCTCCCAAACACAGGTCAGGCACATCACTGTTGGTTGCTGAGCCCCAAATTGTCCCTGCGAGACATACCTGGGGTGGGGGGGGGGGGGGTTAGGAGAGTACGGATGAAATCCTTAAACTGAGAAGTGTATTCATGACAAGCTATCTTGCTGTGGGATAACAGATAGGGTTTTTGCTGAGAAAGGGAAGGAAGGAGGGGAAGGGGCAGTGGCGGTGGGTAGTGAAGGGCTCACGGGCTTGAGCCTCTTCACCCTCCCCACTCACCACCCCCAACTTTATCGCAAAGTAAACGAACGTTTCTCCATAATGAAATAAGCATTTGAAACCGTTATGACCGGACGCAGTGAACACAGAGTGATCAACTCGGCGACTTGCTTGTTTATCCAATCACTGTTGTCACCGCTTACAACTATAGTGACCCAGTAGCCAATCGAATGTTTGTATGGCTCAGCAAAGGTTGAGCCCTTTCCCATGTCCCGTCCTTAATGAAAGTCTTTTTGTATAAAAGGTAAAAGACTTGAATAAAGAACACTGTAAAGAGGGCTCACGCTCTCCTAGCCCTGACAATGGGGTGAAAGTTTTCGACACTTTCCCCCAGTGACACAGATACCTATGCGCTCATTGGTTCTCTGGTGGATGCGTTCAACTTTCTCGACGACATGGCCTAATCCAGCTCATAGAAGTAATATGTTTGAGGAGCTATGTGTGCACGTTTGTGTTTGTGCCGCTGATATTTAACTGTTATAAATCAGGTCAAACTACTTTTAAGGCAACTTTGTCATCACATGAAAATTAATAAGAAACAATTTGGAGGTGAATCGGCTTCGTCCCCACCATCAACAAGAATTTAACTAAAAACAAAGAGATGGAAAACGGAGGTGACTCTTCTCGTTTGAATGGTTCTCAAAATGACGTGGCGCACCGTGAGTATAGAAAAATCATCACTGTTTAGTTCTTATTGCTTGCTATTTGGTGGTAAAGAACTGGAAGCAACCTAAGACCCACCCAAATTTTGGTCCACCCACCGCCACTTGGAAGGGGGGAGGGGGGTGCTGCTTCTAGAGAAAGATGACATTAGTCCCAGTTTATAACGCATAGGCAGTTAACCGTAACAAAGTCTTCTTTATCTGGCTTCGGGAAAATGCTGTTTCCGAAGTGCACGTTTGTGCATGATACGCCATCCCTCATTTGCTTGCACTGCGCTGCGGCGTTGGCTTTGGATCAAGGGCGTGTGTATGTTGGTGTGTGTGTATGTTGGTGTGTGTGTGTGTGTGTGTGTGTGTGTGTGTGTGTGTGTGTGTGTGTGTGTGTGTGTGTGTGTGTGTGTGTGTGTGTGTGTGTGTGTGTGTGTGTGTGTTTGTGCGTGTATGTGTGTGTGTTCGTGTGTGCATATGAGTGTTCGTGCGTGTTTGTTTGTTTATACGTATATAATATGTGTGTGTGTGTTTCATTCAACCTTACAACTGCTTATGAATAGTGAGGTACGCGTCGTGCATACATGGCAATGTCACCATGTAGTAGTGGTGAGATAAGAATCGATTCCAGAACCGATCCTCCAGATTATTGCTTCTGAGAAAAAGAACCAATCCCCTTTTCCGTATACTAACGATTTCCAATTACTTCATTTTTATCTTAATTTTTAAAATTTAAGAATTTATTTTTCAAAAGAAAAGTTGGTGCTTTGCTGGGATCGGAAACCGAGGTTATCCTGAATATTGAAGACTTTAAAAAAGGGTAATCGGGATGCAACTTCACTGTCAAATATTTTATCGATCTAGTATACAGTGCCAAAACGTGCTCGTTGCTTTAGCCTTTTTCTCATTCATCTGTTGTTGTTTTTATAAAATTCCCTCTTCTTTCTATTCAAAATCTAAAACAGTAGCTTTTGCCCACGAGCCTCTACATTATAGGCTCTCATTTCTCGGTGTGGGTCAGTGTTGGTTCTCTGACTTCCCTCTGTATAGATTGGCCGGGGTAGCGCCTTCCCATATCAAGTAATCAAAGGGGTCGGACTACTCGTTACTCGCCGGAAGTAGTCATAGGTATCGGACTAATCACTACTCGCCGGAAGTAATTGTTGGTGTCCGACTAATCGCTACTCCCCATAAGGAATTGCTGGCGTAGGACTCACCGCTTATCGCCGCATGTGATTATGATACTGGCTATGGATTGGAACCACAGGAAAAAATCATCATAGAGCCAGTGGAAGGAATCATATCAGTGGCTGTACTGAAAGTAATTGGGTTTTGAACCGATTCCTACGATTCCTAGCTTTCAATAATCGGAAATCTATGGTTACCGAAAAGAAAGCAACCCCGAAATCACCCACCTCTACCATGTAGGCCATAATAGTACGATGCGTCCCTTGGTAAAAGGAAATTCATGCTTTGGGCAGAAGAACAACTCGTCACATCAAAACTGTTTTCTGATTTTCTCCGTAGGCAGGAGAGGCAGGTGACGTGTCATTTAGGTTGGTGGTAGTAAACAGATTCGTTGTATACCGGCAGGCAGTGTGAATCCCCTCCATCAGCGTCCATGAGCATTTTGCCTGCTTTCTCCCAATTCTAAAACGACACAAATTAAGATCTACTACTCTTTTATATGATTTACGAGTGTGACGGTAAGCGTACTATGTTTGACTTTTTTCTTTACTCACTTGTTCCTATACGCTTTACTTTGGGCTAAACACTTTAAGACATACGATATGTGTCTTTAGCCGTGCAGTTTCGGCATTGAGAAGAATAGGACTGACGTGGTGCTAGAGTGTCGTACGAGGCGACTAAATGGCGAACCAGGTAGTGACTCCTGAAACAGAGTCATCCTGCCTCCAGGTCGGGGGTTGAGTCACGAGGCTAACAACCTCTCTGGTAAAAAGAACCTGTTACAGAAACACATACAAGCAAAAACCATTACCTCTGCTTGGCTGATCGTGGATCTTCTCCATATGGAGAGTTTATGATGCAAGGCAGTGAAAGCCGAAAGGAAGCTGCTCGGCAGAAGCCTCCACCATCATCCAAGTCCAAGTCTCTTCGGGTCGGCTCGTGGAACGTTAGGACCCTTTATGAGGCTGGAAGAAATGAAGAGCTGTGGGAAAGGACAGGACAAAAGGATATAGAAGTAGAAATAGGACTAAGAAAGTGGCGATGGATGGGACACACCTTAAGAAAGCCCAGCGGAAACATCACAAGACAGTCACTGCAGTGGAACCCACAGGGAGCACGAGGCAGGGGTAGGCCACGAGAAACATGGAGGAGATGCGTGGAAAGGGACATGAGAGAAATGAAGTTCACTTGGAACGAGCTTGGAAGGATGGCTCAGGACAGAGATAAATGGAAGGAGCTTGTATGTGGCCTATACCCTGCCAGGGGTGAAAGGCATTGATGATGATGATGATGATGATGATGATGATGATGATGATGATGATGATGATGATATGTGTCTTAATGGGCCCCCGCCACCAGTCAAACAAAAGCCAAAATAGTCTATGTACACATAGTGTGCGCCTCCATTCTTGTGTGTGATATTTTGATGCAATTTCATTCTTAAATAAATAAATAAATAGATAAATAGATTAAACAAATACATAAATAAGATGGAGTAGCCTATATAATAAAGTTTCAAGTAAGTAAAAGAAAATACGAAATTAATCGGGGCGATTTTTAATGTAAGTGTTGTACTTTTCCATCAACATAATTTAGATTATTTAGGAGGCGGGCCTCGTCTGTGATAGACTCGAGCCTAGAGGAATATGACGTCCCAACAGAAAACGGATACTCAATAAATATTCTCCCAACATTGAAATCGACTTAAGCTCTTCGGCGTACGATTACGAAGCTCCTAACCGATACACCACAAACGCCGGGTTTTCAAACCTTTCAATGGTGCGAGCTTATTTGACAGTCTCCGATTTAAAGTCCCGTTCTTGCAGGACAAAACAAAGTGTAAAGGAATTTAGAAGTACAAGAAGTCCCTTTAAAGATTTGAACGAGGGAGGTCCTCAGTTTGAGCCATAGAGTTACCCCCTTTTAAACTAGAGTCCGTACGAGGTCACGTGACACGGACACATTTGAGTTTGTTGGCGGCCATTTTTAATGTGGCTAAAAAGTTTGTTTACAAATGAGTGGTCGTGTCTCTGCTCTTAGTCTTACGTGTTTTATTTGATTCTAACGTTATGTTTTGATTCAAAGCGATTCTCTTAAAGGTGCAAGCATGTGAAACCTCTTGTCCCTTTCTGGATTAACGTCTTACTGGTTCTGTCAGGCAGTTTTCTTTTATTACAACATCTATTTTTAGTGCATGATATGTCTTTTAGACGCAAATAGTCACTCCGGGTTTCTTTTTTAAAACATAAAAAGCCATCAGTAAGGTTCTGGGCCATGTGAAGTTACGGTTGACTAGCAGCTAGATCTTTTTCACAATGGGCAGGGAATTTCTTTATCAAACTGAAATAGTGTACTTTTTATTGTTTTGATTTACTGAATGTTGTCCAAAAACACCTTAGTAAAGGTTTTTGTTTCAGTTATCACTACACTGAGTAGAAAAACAACTGACTTGGCTACAAAACAACATTTAAGTTCACTTTTTAAAAATCTTTAGTGAGTCCAGAGTTGTCACAGTTGTTTTACTTATGTCCAAAATTAGACTTACTTAAAACAGCAATAGAAGGAGCTTTAGTTTAAGTGCTGTATATGGTCTACTTTAGTTCTGAAAATCAATATAAACCAAACTTTAATATCGACATAAAAAAACACTACTTAGAATTTAGTACATGTATACTTTTTAAAAAAAAAGTGAACATATGAATGAGAAAGAAATACAGTTTCCTGTTCAAATGTCACAAGGGAAAGTTTTAACTCGATTTTAAAAATACCAGTACATGTATTAATCATAATTTGTTTGACTGAATTTGCTTTTTCAAGAGCTTCATTGCATTCCTACACCTAAAGGCTGAAAAACTCTGGAATTTTTTTTCCTATGGCTCGTCCTGATTTAATTTAATGCCAAACTCATATATTTGAAGGGGGGGGGGGTGTTTGGTATTGGGATTCGGGAGGAGAGAGAGGGTGGGGTGGTTGTGGGAGGTTCCCATGACACCCACATCTTTTCATACTTCTTTTTAAAAGTTCTATAGGCCCTATACGCTTTGATTCGGTCAATAAGAAATAAACCACTTCGTAGATAAAGTGCTGATGAAGAAATAAAGGTTGTTTTTTTTTCTTTAAAAAAAAAGTCTAATCTCTATCTCTATCTATTTAATAATACATTTATTTGTAGATCTAGTTGTAGAAAGAACGCCGTATTATTGCAATTTAGTAATTTAGATATAGTACGCCACGGCGCCCATGTAAAAAAAAATCATCAAGAACCAAGCCTCGTCTGTCGCGTATGAGAGAGAGAGAGAGAGAGAGAGAGAGAGAGAGAGAGAGAGAGAGAGAGAGAAAGAGAGAGAAAACATGCCTAACCCATTGCTTTAGCATGAACTCCTTCACACAACTTGCCACAAAAAACATGGCGGACGCCGCTGTCAAATGTGGCCATCGTGCAGCAAGGCGAGAGAGGGGCGTACTGTATCTAGTAGTACTATAGTGTACATCCAGAGAGTTTGTACATCTATGGTTTGAGCCCGTACTTCATAAGCTAATGGTACCTCCGAGACATATTGGGGGTCTGTGCCTAAACTGAGATGTTTATTCATGACACGCTACTCTGCTTTGTGACAAAAAGTTCTCTTGTCGACGGCAGCTGAACCATATAAATCAATACATAAATTTCACGGCACTTGGTCTGCTTGAATCAGCTAAACGCATCATAGTGCTGCAAGAGTTGAAAGGATAAATAGAAAAGTGGGTTATCGGACCAATTTTAAATGTTATGTCTCAAGCGTTGTAGTATAATGCGGGGATAATGATATTCATGAACACTGGAAGTCAGCAACGATGTCCTGCGTTGGGACACGCAACAATGTTCTTTCTTTCTTCGCTTTTGGTCCATGTACTGAACAGTAACAAAAGGGAGTCTGAAGTATTTTAGCTACAGGCAAAAAAAAATCGATAAAACACAACGCATAAACAAAACAAAACAACTCTACCCTCATAAAAAACGTCAATGAATCCAAAATAATAAATATGTTGCCAGCATACGAGTATCTCGGTTAAATTCAAGTCAGATACAAAGTTGTTTTTTCTCTCAAATTCATACGGGGTGCCTACTATGGCTGGATTGGGCCGATCGCCCGACTCGGTCGCCTGAAACTGAAAACAAATAGGGGGTGCCCACATACGCGATCGGGTCGGGTCGGGCCCATCGGGTAGTCAGGGCTAGCCAAATTGAGGGCGCAAAGCGGCCATCGTGGCACAAACCGATTGCCGCGATCGGTGACCTACAAAAACAAACGCCTTTGTTTTCTGGACTGCGAATCGCGCGATCGGGTGGTTTGCAGCCAATCACCATAAGGCTGAGTCACGTGTCCATTTTGACCCATGAATACATTAAGTAATACTTTGGCCTCGATTCGACTCATTTTGAAAGGACATTTGCATCTTTAAGTACATTTTTGCTTCTTCATTGCACTTTACATGATCAATAAAGTTGTATCTTATTATAATATGTTGTACAATTACAGATTTGTGCTGAAAAACAGCAGAAAAAATGAAATCAAAGCACTTGACCTAGATTTAGATTTCGATTATTTCGTTCTCAGGAGGGCTAAAAATAGGCCATGTTAGACCAAGAATCTAGCTAAGGACGTGTCTAGATCTACGTTCTCTAATGTTTAGTGCTTCCAATTTTCCGCAAATTTTTAGTTTTCTCCAGACCTTATCTACAGGTCCACTAGATCTAGGCCTAGATTCTAGATCTACATCTCGATTTATTATGTCGCTTTGCCTTTCCTGAAACAGTGCTGTAAATATGAAGCTTAATCTACCCTTCGCTAATGAAAGTTCTGATGGCCGAGTGAATAGTATGTCTGCGTTTGATACGTAAAATATTATTTTGTAAGCGTGGGGTTCGAATCCCAGTCCTAGCTCCCCCCCCCCCCCCCTTCTTCTCATCCTTTCAACTTACCAACAATTTTCCCCATAATTATAATTTGTTGCTTTTTAGTTTTTTAAAGTGGTAAATAAATCGCCAGTGCTGTCTGTTGTTCTCGTAATCATAACACATTGGGCAAAAAATATGTTTAACTGGTCTGATGTTGGTGGACGCGGATCTTTTTGAGTCGCTTCTACACCGTGCAAAAACTTGGTACATTTAGCCTGGCCTGAAAATGATCTTATTTTGGTGGAAACGTAGACTAAAGCAAGTTAGCAAGCAAGCAAGCACTCACGAACATACACACACACACACACACACACACACACACACACACACACACACACACACACACACACACACACACACACACTGTCCAAGAGTACGGTAGGCATATTTTATGTATTCATTGGTCAAAGGTCCAGCCAATCGTAGCCCGGGTTTACACCCTCTGTGTAGTCGCATGCAGGTTAAAGGTTTCTCTACTTTAACTTCCAGGTCGTCGAGTACAATCGCGGCGGGGCTGTAGTGTGCACTGAAACCCCGACCCGATAGGCCCGACTAGACCCGACCCGACCCGAACGCGTATGTGGGCACCCCCTAAAACACGTTTGTTTTTTAGGCGACCAAGTCAGGCGATCGGCCCGATCCGCTGATCTCATCCGTGGTGGGCACCCCGTATAACGGTTTTTAAAAATCTCCTTGGAGGAAAAGGGTGTATGATGTTTTAAAAAGTGTCAATAATTTTATATTGTTGCTGTCAATGAGGTTGATAACATTATCCAGGAAAATAAGGATATATGGTTCCTCCTAAATACGCCTAATGCTCCATGCCAATAAATATAATATACTAACAATCATTTAAGGAAATTGATTTCTGTGGGCAAAAGACAAGACATCACCACAATCATGTACGTGTCTGTTTGTGATGGCTTAGGCTGCATGAGCACGATTGATGCAACTGCAAACTTCACGCTTTTAGCGATTTCAAAATGGGCAGTAAAATATAGGACATTCAAATTCTCCGGCGCTCGCAGAAGACATGAGTTTGATTCCCGAGAGGAAAACATTTATTGAATACTCGAGTGTTTCGGTCTTTCTGCTAGGACTTTATGTCCCTCTTAGTCCAGATTGACAGGCAAAATCGACCCCCCCCCCAACCCCACCCCTAACAAACAACCCCCCCTCCAAAAAAAAAAGAAAAAAAAAGAAAAAAAAAGAAAAGACAACAACAATCAAACACAAACAAACAACAAACAACCAAAAACAAAACAAACCAAAAGCAACCAAAACTAACCTCACCCCTCTCCCCTAAAAAAAACCCAAACAAAACAAACAAATAAAAAAACAACCGATTTAAATTGTGGCGATAGGAACGTAAAATCGCCTACATTAAAACAGAAGGAGTGGAATCACAGCCATCCCCATCGTAGTGTATCATTGTAGTAACTGAGGTACAGTGGGCTTATAGACACAATAATAATACAGTTTAAAACATGCTGAACAACTTCACAAATCGTCTTTTTTATGTAGGTGCGCCCTGGACGGTTACCCGAACGACACCTATGCTGTACAAAGCGACTTTCACGCCCAGCACATCAATCAGAGCATTCCATTGGAGGAGGACGGTCAGGAGATGGTGACGTCATCGTGCTTCATCTACAGAGCTGAGCTCTCTCTGAGCTTGAACACAACGTATCTGGGGAGTCATGGGAAGGAGAAAGTCAAGTGTGACCGCTGGGTGTATGACAAGTCACAGTTTCAAAGATCCATCATTGAAGAGGTCAGTACTTCCAGATAAGAGACCTACCTATTCTCCCTTCATAGTGCACTTTAAAAAACAAAAACAAAACAAACAAACAAAAACACAAACAAACAAACGACCCCCAGCAAAAAAACAACAAACAAACCCAAACTAATTTGGGCGTGGACAATGAGTTATACAATCGTTATTTGTTTTTCTGTAATGTTTTTTTGTGAAGTCTCGGTAGGTATAGAGAAACTCATAGACCTACAGCACTTCAGTAGGAGTTGTTATATGATTTGTTGAAATAACACACACCAGCTCTGATTAATTGAAATTGTTTTACGTTCACATCTCCATAGTTTAGATCATGATCTAGGGAGTGAACTGCCTCGGACCAGGCTCCCACCTCAGTGGTGCACAGACAGCACCACAGCAGAAAGAAAGGACTACATGTACTCGATGGGAAGAACTTTCCTACTAGGCAATTTTGTTTTGCAACAGCAAATAGCCTTTCTGAGACAACACAGGCACAGGTCGGGAACGTCCCTGTTCAGATTTTTGCACGTGTCATATTTACTATGGTGTAGAGTTTTGTTTTTCTTTTCTTCACTTTTTTTATTCTCTGGATTGGATCTAGTGACCTAATTCAAAATATGGTGGCTCTCGTAGCCTAAAGGTTAAGGTGTTTGGGTGTCATTAAATAGGTTCCGGGTTCGAATCCGGATAGCTACGGAAAATCCTCTAAAATTATATCCATTCACATCCTTTCCTCCTCTCTAACAATATTCTGTCTGCTTTCGTCCACACTTTCTGCCCCCACCCCTTCACCTCATTTGCCCCCTA